CCCCCCCACCTTGCCCTCTCTCATCACTGCTCCAGTGCCCATGTGAGGAGGGAGAGGAGGATACAGACAAAATTACAATTAAAATTTAAAACCATGTAAAAGGTTTTTGTTGCAGAAAAACAGACCCTTTAGCTGAACATGACTCACTGATAATAAAACAATATGAATGTTTGTAAATTAGTTAATTAGATTTAGACAACTGCACAGTGGGGGCACCACTAAAAATCTTGCCCAGGCTGCCAAATTGACTAGAGCTGGCCCTGCACAGAACTTTAAATGCATAAATGTATTTTTATATGAATGTTTTTTTGCAGCTGCCATAAATAGTCTGATTGTACTAATTTATTTTCGTTTTAATGTACTTTTGCTGTTGAAACTTGGTGTTCTGCACAGTGTTGGTAAATGGTGGTTGTTTATTTCAGGGTGTTTTTAGGTTTTTTTTTGTTATTTCGGTGTCAGTAGGAACAGAATTGTTATAGCTGTATTTTCTGTGCTTGCTGGTATTTTCCCCTGAATTAGAACAATTTGAAGTCATTGAAGTTGAGCTTTTTTGCAGTTTCCTCAAATTTTCTCCAAATACCTGACAAGTTAAATTGTACTTGACCTTGACCTGCACAGTCTGACTGACGTGACTCCACCTGTGGATGGATCTTGTTGTGTTTGATGCTCAGCTGGTTTCAGGCTGGTGGAGTTAAAGTAAAAAAATGTGTGAGGTTGGACCTCTCTGACTTGTTTGTGAGCTTTTTCCTTTTTTCTAAGCTATCAGAGTTCTCTCCATTACTCTTCCTCCTTCACTGTCAGGATGGATGAAGATGGATGGAGGGATAGTGGAAGTGTTCGGTGTGTGATTGTTTTGTGCAGCAGAATGAAACTCTTCATCCTTCTACTGACTCTCTTTATTTTACTCCATAGTTCTTTACGTCTCTCTTTCATCTTCCATCACTTCATCTGTCTTATCTTTTGTTTGGATGAAGTTCATCCTATATTTTTTATGTATTTTTGCTTTTATAGTTTCTCATTTTCTTCATTATTTCTCTCTGTCCTTTCCATACTTTTAGTATTTTTTCTGTTTGCCTTGTTTTGTTATAGTCGCTCATTGTGAACC